CTGCCCCAAGCAGTGACGGGCAGATACCAAGTGCTCACTCTGTACAGCCGGGAAGACCCTGCCTGCCCTCCCAGGCCTGGGGAGGCAGCCCTGCCACCCCTCCATCCCCTCCAGTGCCACTCAGATGTGGGAGTCAGTGGGAGTGTCTGTGCTGCTGTCTTGATACTCTCAGAGTCTAGCCCATTGCTCCATTCCCAAAATTCATCACACACAAGGCTCGAATCTTGTTTGGGGTATATCACAAAGTAAACATCCAACGCCAACAGCCACAGAGCCACAGCTTCTGGAAAACAGCCCAAGGCAAAGGCTGCTATTACTTTATATAATTGCTTCACAAAAAGAAGAGGATCCCAACCTGCAGCAGTGTAAGAACCTCTCCCCACATCATCCACAGACTGCCCTGTGCCCCTGAATCAGCAGTTTCCTTGGTGCAGCCCCAAACGCATCCAACGACAGGCAGTGACACCCTACGTGGCTTCTGGGATCGGAAAGCCTGGAATACGATCCAGAGGGTTTCTGAGGGCCCAGTTTAGGAGCATATCTTGACCTTCTTTCAAGAGACAACTACATCCAAGGTCAGATAGGACTTTGGTTTGCAAAAATTGTGTCTAGATCAGGGTTTCTCAGCTGTGGCACAACTGACATTTTGGGCCAGCTAGGTCTTTGTTGTGGGAGGCTGTCCTATGTATTGTAGGATATTTAGCAGAATCTGGGACCTCTACCCACTCGAAGCCACCCCTAAGTTGTGACAAGAAAAAATGTCTCCAGACACTGCCAAATGCACCCTTGGGGACAAAGCTGTCCTCAACCGAGAGCCCTTTTGGAGGAAGTGAACCCACTGACCTCCAACCCTGGATTTATTGCTAAAGTAAATCAATAAGGAGCATTCTTAGCCACTTACTATATCGACCTTGAAACACTGTCTTCCAGTCCTCAGGGATTTTTTTTCTTTTAAGTTCACAGTCTTGAAGGCCTGGCTGCACAGACTCCCCCAGGTAGCATTTTAAAAATATAGATTCTGGGAAACCATCCCCAGAGATTCAGATTCATTTGGCCTGGGGCAGAGGCTGGACATGGGTATTTTTAAAAAATTCCCTAGGCGGGGGCGCCTGGATGGTTAGGTTGGCTAAGTCTCCCACTCTTGATTTTGGCTCAGGTCACGATCTCACGGGTGTGAGATCGAGTCCTGCTTCAGGCTGACCGGGATTCTCTCTCTCCCTCTCTCTCTCTCTGCCCCTCCCTTGCTCCTGTGCATGTGAGTTGCACGCGCTCTCTCTTACTCTCAAAATAAAATAAAATAATTTAAAATTCCCTAGACCATTCTAACCCGCAGCCAGGATGGAGAAACACTGCTAGAAGACATTTCATTTGATTCCATCTTCTCCCTAATCCTTTGAACCTGGCAGGGTTAAACGACAGTGAACCAGAAAGCGAAAATGAGGCTAAGGGGATTAGTATCATCCTAATTCTTGACAATGAAATATCCTCGGCACATTCCATTTCTTGGTCCGTGAGTGACTTGCCAGAAAGAATGGAACTTAACCCTGTTCGCCCATGGCCTTTTTGATATAAACAGCACCATCCTGCAAAACTTTCTGGAAAGATGGAAATGTTCTCCATCTGCTCTACCTAATACAGTCACTATTGAGCACTTGAAATGTGGCTAGTGTGACTTAAGAAGAGAATTTTTAAATTTATTTAATTTGAAGTTGATAGCCACCACGTTGACAGTATGAAAAGTATTTACGTCCCTACAGGGTCACAGAGATAAAGTCCTATAGCCTGCTAAATGCCACAGAACCATGAAAACTTACAAAAATGTATGACTTAAAATATCTAAGTGCAACAGTCTTGAAATTATCAAAGGCAATCATAACTTACGCCAATAATCAAATTAGGAGAAATTTTAACGATTTTTTTTTTCAACCCACCGAGCTGGTTTTCCAGCATATTCCACACACTTAGCTTTGAGGGAGACATTCCTGGTCCTTTTCTTTTGAACACTCATCACTGTAAAAATTGACCTAGTCACCAAAACAATCAGGCATTGGTAAAGAATATGACTGGTAGGGAAGCTGATTTCTACTCTGAGCTGCTTACTAGGAAAAAACACTCACTGTTATTTTCCTTCCCTCCCTAATCCAAAGTAAATCTTTGATTCAAACCTTTTGCCCCAAAGATAAGTCTGAACCAACACACAGTGCAAACCCATGTAACCTCTAAGAAGGAGTGTTTTATCTTCCTATCAGTAGTTTCACAATTACTTACAATTGCATGAACTGTATTCACACGTTTACTCTAGATATGTGCAGGCTCACAGCCTCACAGAACTCAAAGCTCAGATTTTTAAAGCTAAAAAACAGAAAAGGCCATTCTTTTTACCAAAGCAATGGACGGTGTAGTGTCGAAGAAAGCTTCAGAGGCCTTTCTGACCACACACACAAGATGCTTATCTCAGGGTGCCTGGCTGGCTCAGTCGGTGGGGCATGTGACTCTTGATCCTGAGGTTGTGGGTTCAAGCCCCCTTTGGGTGTAGAGATGATTTAAAAATTAAAATCTTAAAAAAAAAATGCTTACCTCTTCTTGGTTGGGACTCCTCTGGCCCACCTCTAAGCAGAGTCAATATGAGCCAGTCAGTAACGATTGAATACATTTCCAGTAATTCAAAGTGGAGCCAACACTGTCTCACTCTCCATAATAGCTGGTGCTTACTGAGTGCTTACCACATGCTGGACCTTGTGCTTTATCTAAATCTTACCATTGCCTTCTGAAACAGGTGCCATTACCAGAAGCTAAGACTCAGAGAGGTTAGATAATAGGCCCATGGCCACACAGGTAGCAGTGGTAGCAGTGGGATTTGGACCCAAGTCTCTCTGATTCTCTGGGGGGAATCCTCTGGGTCATGAACAAAAACAAACCTGTAATCATAATGTTAGGTACCATGCTGAGCCATTCTCCCTGTGATCAGGCTGTAGCTCAATGAAGGGAGTTTGGTGTTGCAGGGTTCAGAAATTCTGAGTCTATCGTTACTTTGGAAACCATGTCATAACTCTCCCCCGGGGGCCCCCACCCCAGATCTCTCTTTCTCTCTCTCTCTCCCCTTTTGTCCTGGGGCTTCACCAGGCAGATGGGAAAAAGGGTCTTGAGGAACGCTTCTGATCCCACCAGCATAGTTGCCCCAGAGAGCATAGGCAGACACATGCAGACAGAACTTTCCAGATGCCATCATGAAGGTGGAAGGCAGTAGGATCCCAGTTATAAGATCCCAGGGGAGAAAGGAATCACTTTCAGTTGGGGCCAGGGGAGGAATCAGAGGTGTGTTCCTAGAGGGGACCGCTGAGCTGGAGCTAAGGTAAGATTTAGACTTCAGAGATTCCAGGGAGGGCATTCCCAGAGGAGGGAACAGCCTAAGCAAAGGCAGCAGGTCACCTGCCTGGATTATAGCACAGGAGGCAGGGGGTGAGGGAGGGGGCAAATCAGGATACAAAGAGGGAACAGAATCTCCAGGGGCCTAGGCTGATGGGCTGGGGCAGTACTGGGAACCCAGGAAGTGAGGACTGACCATCCCAGGACATGTTTAGCACCCCAGCCCTGGTACTTCTTAGCTGTATGGCCTCCAGCATGTCCCTTCTCTTTGGGCATCAGTCTCCTTGAGGAGGACACCCAGGACCCCTCGTTGGTCTGAGAAAATATTTTTAGAAAAATAAATTGGTGCTAAGAACATAGATTATTAATTTCTCTTATTTCTGACTTCCTATGTTATAAAAATGTTGATAAGAATTTATTAGTTACAGTTGGGTAAAAATAAGTCTAGTGGTTCAGAATGGGGGCTTTGAGGTCAGATTCACTCTGCCCTGGGAAGGGGGCACATTCTTCCTCTGAGAAATGGGCATAACATTGGTACCTACCTCTGGGAGCTGTTGGGAGAAGTAAGGCAGGTAATCCTCTAAAGGTGCTTAGCACATGATCTGGCAGCCAGTATTTATTCTATGTCAGCTATTATTTATAATAACTTAACTCCCAGCCAGGTAGAGCCAGCCATTAGGGTTTTCTGGACAGGTGAGAGGTGAGGCAAATGCTGGTCTCCAGTCCAAGCTGAAACCTCTTCTTAATCAACCAAACCTCGAAGCACAAAAAGGGCTCAAGGCACATATCCCTGGATGCACAGCCTCTAGACCCTCTGGCACCCTCTTCCTCTCTCCCTATCTCTCTTGTCAACTTGGCCTCCTCCACTCATCTGCATGTGCTCTGCCCTGCAGCCAGCGTTACACAATCCGAATTTCCAAGGCTGCCAAGAAGCCAGTGAAAGTGTAGGCGGGGGATGCTGGGGGTTGCCGGGCGGCACCGGGCTGTTGGGATGGTTGTACCAGCATCTTGACTCACGGGTTGCTGGGAGGAGAGGGCATGAGGCCAGGGGAACTGGGGTGGGCTGAGGAAAAGTGAGCTAAAAAGCTGCTGGGGGTAGGTATTGGCTGGAGGAGGTCCCGAGGGGCGCAGATATCTGGGGACCGGACGGGGGTTGGCGCCATTAGCTGGGAGGTCGAGCTGCAGCCTTTCCTCGGGAAGTGGGAGGAACGAGGGTGCAGGAGCCTCCAAACCATCCAGCCACCCGGAGGGACGCAGAAGGACTGGTGCCGGAGCCAGCGGTGGGAGGCGGAACAGAAAAAGGGTGCAGGTCCCCGACCCAGCCTCACCTCGTCCCTGGGCTTAGGGCAAAAGGCCGCCTGGGAAGTAGGGGCATCTGGGATTCGGGGAATGTCAAACCTATCCAGGCACTGGAGGGGAGCGTGCAGGGGCTAATGCCGGAGCGAGAGAACCGAGTAGAAACAGAGGTGCAGGTTCCCGACCCATTTCGCCCCGTGCGCCGCTTGCGGGGCGGCCAGGCAGCCTTGCAACGAAAAGTGGAGGGCAGGTCACAGGGCCGGGGCGGGGGGGGAGGGGAGCCCCCGGATACCCTCCCTTTCAGGTGCGCACCCCCCGCCCGGCCCGCCGGCGCTCACCTGACCTGACCTCAGGCGCCCGGATAGTGCCGCGGGATCCAGAGGCCAGTCCTCGTCCCCCAGCCGCGCTCGCGTCCGGCAGCTGCGCTCGTGCCCGCGTCGCTCGGTTCCCCGCGCCGGGCTCAGCCGGACGCCTTAAAGGCGCGCCGCGCCGGCCTGAGTCAGCCGACGGAAAAGCCGGCTCCGCCTTCGTCGCCCCTGGCGCAGCTCCGCGGCTGCAGCGTCCAGTCTACTCTAAGCTCCTCTGCGCCCCAGCTCAGAGCGTTAAACCCGTAGGGGCGAGTTAGTGGCTTCCACAACCCGACCTCCGCAACCTGTCTCCAAGCACTTAAGAGCCCAGGCCCCAGTGCCAGCGCCTATTGCTCTCCGCGCTCAGCGCTAAGTGCAGAGGGCAGAACCCGGCCGCCCCGCCCCGCCCCTAAACAGCTCACTTAGGGCTAAGGCTACGGACTGGGACCCAAGGAGCCACAGTTCCACGAGGCACCGCCAGAGTTCGTCGAGGCGTTGTTTCATTTACTGAGCAGCTACTATGTGCCTAGTGCTACTGGGCACGTGGCTCCAAAGTGACTCTGGCTGGATCTCTGCCCCCCAAAGGCTCAGAAAGATAGGCACAGGCTCACAGGCAAGCCAAGCAACACTGCCTTACACATGTCGTCTCATTTAATACTGTAAGGTACGCGTTGTGATTAGCTTCCTTTCTCAGAAGAAAGGTGAGCCGCTTGCCCATGGGTTCAGCCTATAAAGGACAGAATTGGGAATTCAAACCCTGCACCTGGTTCCAAAGCTGGGGGTGGTGGGGGAGAGGGTGGGACAAAAATAGTAATCTTGGAAAGGCTTTCATCCACTGCTGGTTGAATCCCCACTATGGTCGTTTCTTCTTTTTAAGGACAGTTAAACCTAATTAGGCAAATAAATAAAAAATTAGGAGGGGAGCATAAAAGTTATCACCCATTAAATTCAAATGGTGTTGTTTGACTAGCTTATCTACCACAAAGCCGGGATTTTTGAGCATCTGGCCTCAGTTTACCACTGCACCCTCATCTAGTATTCTGAGGGTGCCCAAGCTGAATTCTACCATTTTGGCCTTTGAATGGGCTGTTCCCTCCACCAAGAACTCTTCTTTTTCTTCTTGGCCTGACTACTTCCTCTTGACTGTGCCTCAATTTATTTATTTTTTCTATGCCTCCATTTAGATGTCACTTCCTCCAGCAGGCCCACACTGCACTAGGGACTTCTTCCATCAGAGTGTTTATTCATTCATATAATAAAATCTTACTGAGCACTTACTATGTGCTGAGCAGTGTGTGAGGGGTGGGGGTGAGGAGCGGTATCTTCTGCTGCCCTGAATGAAGGCTTCCTTGTCTGCCTCTTGCTCCAGACCTAGGTGGGACCAGTGCCCAGCAGGACTCTCTTGGTATTTAACTCCACCACAAAGGCAGCCTCCCTCCTGCCAAACCCTCCAGACTGGCAGAACCTGGTTGAGTTGGGCAGGTCCTGGTTTTTAAGAATGGGTCATGGACAAAAAGCTTCAGAGATGTGGCAAAGGAACATCTCTGAGGCCACTGGTAACTACCTCGTAAAATCTGCCTCTGTTAGGGCTGCTGGAATCCATCCAGAGTTAGGGACAATCTCCCTGGCTTGGGCTGAAGCATCTTCCTCTAAGACGTTGGCCATCTCATCATTCAGATTTCAAGAGTTGCATTCGACATGCTTCATGAAATTGTTCTCAGAGCTTCAGGGATAGTGTACTCATCAAAGAGTAAGTTGCTCAGGATTCTCGTGGATCATGATTAACCAAATATGGTGATTTGGTTTGGAAGACCTATCTGAAGAAATTAGTCAGAAGACAACAGAGTGATATGACATGAAAAATATGAAAACAAGATATTACAAAATATGCAGAATAGACTGAGTAGATCTAAAATCCATTTAAGCAGCATCAAAGGAGGAGAGGCCAGGGGCGCCTGGGTGGCTCAGTCAGTTAAGCAGCCGACTTCGGCTCAGGTCACGATCTTGCACTCCGTGAGTTTGAGCCCCGCGTCGGGTTCTGTGCTGACAGCTCAGAGCCTGGAGCCTGTTTCAGATTCTGTGTCTCCCTCTCTCTGACCCTCCCCCGTTCATGCTCTGTCTCTCTCTGTCTCAAAAATAAATAAACGTTAAAAAAAGTTTTTTTTAAAAAAGAGGAGAGGCCATATTTGAGGTGGTAAAGGGTGAGAATTTCTAAAGCAGAAAAAAGACATGAATCCCCAGTTTTAGGAAGCATAACACATCCTAAGCAAGATAAATAATAGGAAATCCACACCAAGAGACATTGTAGTGAAACTGCAGGACACTAAAAACAAAGAAGGGGTGCCTGGCTGTCTCAGTGGGTAGAACATGCGACTCTTGGTCTCAGGGTTGTGAGTTCGAGCCCAATGATGGGTGTAGAGATTACTTAAAAATAAAATCTTTTTAAAAATAATTTATTCATCCATTTTGAGAGAGAAAGAGAGAGAGCGCACATGTGTGTACATGCGAGCAGAGGAAGGGCAGAGAGAAAGGAGAGAGAATCCTAAGCGGGCTCCACACTGTCAATCTGCACTGTCAGCACAGAGTCCCACATGAGGCTCAAACCCACAAACCTGAGATCGTGACCTAAGCCGAAATTAAGAGTTGGTTAAGCATCCAGGCTCTTGATTTTGGGTCAGGTCATGAGACCAAGCCCTGTGTTGGGCTCCATGCTGAGCATGGAACCTGCTTGGGATTCTCTCGCTCCCTTTCTCTCTGCCCTTCCCCAACTTGCCTGCTCTCTCTCTCTCTTAAAATACATAAAAATCTTTAAAAAAATAAAAATAAATAAAAATAAAAACAAAGAACTTAAAAGCAGCTAGAGATAAAAAAGGCAGATTATTCCCCAGAAAAGGAATTAGATTTCCTGCAGATTTCTGAATGGCAACATAGGAAACTCAAAGGCATTGAATAGTATCTCCAAAGACCTGAGAATTGGATCCTCAGCCTTTCAGGAATAAGAGTTAAATACAAATAAAATGAATTTACAACTGGAAGACTTGACTAACTGAACTTCTAAGGTATACCTCAGAAAGAAGAAAAAAAGACCCAATTAAGAACTGAAATGAAAGAAGGCATACTGAGTGAGGAAATTGGTAAATAGAGTGAATCTAAACAAAATTGTCAGTACAAAACAATAATGATGACATAATGCATAATCCATAAGTTTATTTTTAATTTTTAATTTTTTTATTTTTTTAGAGAGAGAAAGAGTAGAGGAGTAGGGCAGAGGGAAAGAGAGAGAATCCCAAGCAGGCACAACACTCAGTGCAGAAATTAAGAGCTGGACACTCAACCAACTGAGCCACCCAGGCGCCCCCATAATCTGTATGTTTACACAAGGTCAGAACTAAAATAAGAGACAACAATCAATTAGGAATGAGGTGGTAAAAAAAAAAAAAATAGTGTCCCAGTGCTTTTGCATTTGTGTGGGAAGGGAATTAAGATAGTAATTTTGGCTTTATTAATTATGTGTGGTACATTGTCAATGGTATTCACTAAAGTAATATAAATAACATGTATAACTTTCAAACCAGTGGGGGGGGGGGGATTACATAAGCCAATAAACAAATGCCAACCAACCCAAAGAATTGTAGAAAAAGTAAGATTCCTCCTCCCAAAAAAGGTAATTAAAAAAAAAGTCCAGATTTACTAATAATCATAGTAAATTAACTAAACTCATCAGTTAAAAGTCAGAAATTGTCAACTTGGATGTTACAAAAATCCAAGAGGTGCTGTTTCAAGAGGCACTCCAAAAAATATAGGAATTTGGGAAGGTTAAAAGTAAACGTGTGGAAAATGATACACCTCACAAACGGTATCCAAAAGAAACACCACCACTGTGTTATGGTGACTGACTAACAAAATCATTAAGGATGGAAAGTGACACTACATAGTGATAACAAGTTCAATTCACCAGCAAATTCTATCAGTTGTCAACTATAGAAAACATGAATCTTATAATTATTAGAGAAATTGGTGAAATATTTAGTCAAAGGAAAAACTAAAGCCTGGTGATTCTAGAAGTGAGTCTAAACTTTCAAGACATATATCATATTACTCTCTCATAAGCCCTTCTAGAAAATAGAAAATGAGAAAACACATCCCAATTCACCCTATTATACCAGTCTAAATTCCATACCAAACAAGATCAGACCAATATTACTCCTAAATCCCTCAAAAACATAGAAGTAAAAATCCTAAATAAAATATTAGTAAGTTGAGTCCAGCAATATATAAAAAGGATGATGTATCATTACCAAGACAGGTTTATTCTAGGAATGTCAGGATAGTTTAACATTAGGAAATCTATTCCTGTAGTTAACCACATCAATATATTAAAGGGGAACCATAAGATCATCCCAATGTTTGCAAAATTTTAAAATTCAACAGTCTTTCTTGGTAATAACTCATAGGAAACTAGGAAGAGAACTTCCTTGCAGGTTAAAAGGCGGCCACCAAAATTAAAAACCTACAACAATTATCATTCTCAATAATGAAAAGTTAGAAATGCTTCCTTCAAAATCAGAAATGATTCCAATCAAAATCTCAACAGGGCTTTTCAATAATTAATTAGGAACGAGGTGGTAAAAAAAAAATTACAAGCTGGTAAAAAAGAAAATTATGAGCTGATTCTAAGATTCATATGGAAGAGCAAAGCTCCAAGAAAAGTAAAAATATTTGCAATGAAGAAGAAAAATTAGATATCAAGACTTGTTATAAAAGTATAGTTATTAGGACAGTGTGTATTCATGTAGGGATAGATAAAAACACTAATGAAACAGGGGCGCCTGGGTGGCTCAGTCGGTTGGGCGTCCGACTTCGGCTCAGGCCACGATCTCACGGTCCGTGGGTTTGAGCCCCGCGTCAGGCTCTGGGCTGATGGCTCAGAGCCTGGAGCCTGCTTCCGATTCTGTGTCTCCCTCTCTCTGCCCCTCCCCCGTTCATGCTCTGTCTCTCTCTGTCTCAAAAATAAATAAACGTTAAAAAAAAAATTAAAAAACAAAAAAACACTAATGAAACAGTATAAAAATCACAGAAAAAGAAGCACCTTGGTGTCTCAATTGGTTAAGCATCCGACTCTTGATCTCAGCTAAGGTCTTGATCTCACAGCCTGGAATTGGACTCCATGCTGGGCATGAAGCCTGCTCAAAAAAAAAAAAAAAATCACAGAAACAGATCCACATACATAAGGAAACTTGACTTATGAGGGAGGTGACATTTTAGATCACTGGCGAAAGGAGGGACAATTCGGTAAAAATGCTAGGACAATTGATTATTCATATAGAAAAACATGGAATTTAACAACCCACCCCTCTCCAAATTAATTCAAGATAA